CATTCTTAGGCAAACATGCCCAGATTTGTTGTAAATATATAAAAATATTCACATATGAATGACTACATTTCATTTTTGATGATTTAATTTAAATGTAAAAAAAGTACTTTCCATTTGATTACATAAACTATGTGATGTGTGTGATTACTAGGATATGAGATTTAGAGCAAAAAAATGAATTCAAATCGTGCAGAAAATTCTTCCTACATAAGGAAGAAATCTGAAATAAAGTGGAATAGGAAAACAGAACATTCTAGAGACAGGAGTAAAGGTCGGAGCAACACGGAGATGAAGTGTTAAAAGCGGACAAAGAGCAAGAGATTGCTCCTCTCTTTTTTCCACCTGTGCCCTTTGCCAGCTGTGGGGAGTCACACAGTGACCACGTGGATGGCAATTGTCTAAAGCTGGCAAACAGGCTCTCTGATCAATTATTAAAAACTTGCATGAGTATGTGCGTGCTTGTGCGAGTGTTTTAAAAGCCCCTGGGTTTGAAAAGCTCAGGGCATTGTTAAAGTTCACAGCAGGGGATGTTTGTGTGTATTCATTGGTAGTGCATACATCTGTAGTGTGGTGAATTTCAAGCATGGCTCTTGAATATTGACTTAAAAGAGACACGCGCACTCAAACACACACGCACTTTGATGTACTTTGATGCTGAGCCAATTTTGCCTTATGGTTTGCACAATATGCTGATTTGGTGCAAAATAAACACCATCTCTGTGGCCTTACACACACGCACAAAAACACACACAAAAAGATGACCATCTGTTCTAATAGTGAGTCCAGCTTCCTGCCAAGTTGTTATCAGCTGATTGGCAGAAAAGCACACCAAAAAGATGCCAGCTTGAGGAAGACAGACAGGACATGCTCTGTCCCACGACACTTTAAATCACTGCTTAAGCTCAAAAAGCCTTCACAGAGAGTGTTAAGCCACGTCCCTCAAGTCTGCCTTTGGTTTGTGTACTCAAACCATCATTATACAATAAGAATTACAAATGACTTGGTCCTTTGAATGAGGACTGTCTCAGAACAACAACTAACCAATGACTCCGGGAACGTCCAGTCACCCTGTCTAGTGAGGATATGTGATATACTGTGTATTACATCTCAGTCAACAAAAACAAAAGCTCAAATCAACTGCTTATGAAGAAGCTATTTATTTTCCCGTGTTCACGGACACAAACTGCCACGTTTTTTTGTGTCAGCGAGCACGAATTTGTAAATAGAGTATTTTGGTAGGAAGTATATTTTGTCACAGCAGCTTATATTTTGCTAAGAGAAAGCAGGGAGGCATCATTGTGGCAAAGAAGAAAACAAAGCTTTAGAAGAAATGGCACGTGTTGTATTTTGAACCAAACCCTGATCTTTTTCTTAACCTAACCCCGAACCCTAGAAAAATCCATTTCAGTGCCTACACCTGACTGAGATAAATGCCTACACTTAACCAAACAACATATTCTTGTGTATTTACAAGTGATGTGTCTCAAACTTGGGTGTTATTTTCAAGCTCCAAATGCAGACTTTTTGTTGCGCTTTACAAGTTGACAGTATTCACTTTGTATACATGAATAAGAACATATGAGAGCAGACTGATCAAAAGTCATGCTCAGGAAATCATGTTAATGTTCAGGAACACAAATCAGTAGACTAAAGGTTGTGACTCCTCCCTCCCAACCGGTCACGACCTCACTGAGCCTGGTTCTGCCGGAGGTTTCTTCCTGTCATAAGGGAGTTTTTTCTTCCCAATGATTCCAAGTGCTTGCGCACAAGGGGATCATTTGGATGTTGGCGTTTTCTTATTTCAATTATTCGGGGGTCTTTACACCTGCCATAGGGTGACTGCTGCTGTAATTTGGTGCTATATAAATAAAACCTAATCAAACTGAATTGACTATTTCACGAACTGCTATAAGAACATACTGTATAGTCACACTACTCACAATGAAGGCTTAAAAAGTTTTAATTTGAAATCCATATGTGACAAACATTGATAAGTGTTAATAATGAAACTTCTAGAAGCAACTTCTAATCACTAAAACAACAGTGTCTTAGGAACAGATAGCCCATGTTCAAAAATACAAACAGACGTTTTTTTTGAAATAGCTAAAACCACTACGAGCTAGTGTTTTGGAGCATTCCTGTTTTCTAGACTTTTTTGTCTGGCCTATGTTATCTTAACAGTCATAGGACTATATGGAGGTCACCAGAACTGATACTTACCAAACCTTTCAAAATCAAAATTCTGAAAATGTCAGAATGTTTTGTTTTAGTTTTTTAAGGTAGAGTTGGCAAAAAAATGATACTTGGATTCTAATTGATGCAATTTTATTTTATCAGATGCATCATAAATACGGACAGCTTTGTCTATATGAAGACTTTTGTGAAGTAAATAAAGCTTCTTTTTAAACAACATTCAAATATCAAACAGTTACCACGAACACTAATCTGGCTGGTGCACATGGCAACATGAGCTGTTTAACTATTACTTATTCAAATTAGCTGTCTGATAAGTTATTCTTAATGCATCAGGTAGCTGCTACTAACACGATAACCTTAATGTTGAAGCTGGGCAACAAAACTTATCAGTCTATAAGTCTGTACCATTGTTAGAGATTTTTAATTTAACAGGAAAACACAATTATCTGTGGAAGCCCGTTTCCGCCACTAAAAGAAAAAGCATCTATAACTCAAAGTTTTGACGTACTTTCAAAAAAATTTCAACTTATTAACTCGAAATTTCGACGTATTTTCTTGAAAATTCGATTTATTAACTTGAAATTTTGAGAAAAGTAACTTGAAATTTCTAGTTAGCTCTGCCAATCAGTAATGTATGTGGAATGCGCACTCAAAACAGGGTCGCAACAAATTGGCGCTTTCGAGAGTACGTTTGCTGATAGTAACATCATGTGATTCAGCTAATAACACAAGGATTTCATCATTTGTGAAACCACACTGAAAATAATCAGCAATTTGTGCATTCATGACTGGCTGTAATACTGGTAGCTTAGCTGTAGCATTTGTAGCTGAGGGCTTCAGCTTCCGGGTAACTAGGAAATGACGTCATTCACGTAGATTACTGAGCTACTTTTCTCGAAATTTAGACTTAAGTCGAAATTTCGAGTTAATACGTCAAAATTTCGAGAAAATGGCTCAAAATTTCGAGTTATGGATACTTTTTTTTTCTTTTTTTGTGGCAGAAACGGGCTTCTATAATTATCTGTGTCTAAAAATATGAAAGGTCTCTCTTAGAAGCAACAAGACAGAAACAGTGACAGCCTATCTTACCAATAAGTGATCAGCATTTTAAATATGGTGCCAAGCCACCAGAAGCACAGAAACAGTTGTAGCTGAATACAGTATTATTATTATTGTCATTCAAAAATAAATAAATGAGCCTTATAATTTAGTCTTTTTACTTTCATTGAACTGAAACATTATTATTTTCCTGGGTATTGGGCTCAAGTTTGAACTTCTATTATCACGATTACTCTAAATAGACACAGATAAAGGAGTAATAAGAACTCATGAGAACATTCTTTGGTTATAGCAAGCGTACGCTGCAATAGGACGAGGCTAATATTATTGTAAGGCTAAACACCGTAGGATTTTTTTTTATATATAGCCAACATCTTGTAAACCTGATAATTTAGTCCTTTAGCAGTGGTTTTTCTATAGAGCTGTAACACTGTCAGACGTATTCACTATCTTCTTTGAATCAGGACGAGTTTACCCCTTTCAAAAGCTGCAAGTTTTTCTGTTAAAAAGAGAGAGTGACAACAAAGGCTAAGCTGACATTTCAGTCCATGTACTTGCATGCATTTTACCAGAGGCAGGAAGAAAAACTATTCAGTCTTTAGGCTCTCTATCTGTTTTATCTCACAGTTTTAACCTTTATGTCCTTGGTTTGTTCTCTTTAAAAAAAAAAAAAAAAACTTACTTTGCAGTTCATCTCTCCGGAGGTTTTTCCCTAATTTTCTTTATCTTTGCTTCTTCTTTTCCTTTCACTTGTTCCTTCTCGTCATTCTTCCTCACGCCCTTCTATCTCTCCAACACTGTGTGACAGTTCGCCACCAATTTGCGCTCGACTAATCTGACTAGAACACGCTAAACTAATTAACATGGGCTGAAGCGGCCTCACTTATCATTTCACCATATGTACATACATCACACGCCCACCACACACTCACTAAGTCACCACATATACACGCACATGCACGCACAAACACACACATAAAATGAATGAGACTCTCCAGGGAGAATAAGAAATGATGGGTACTACTTCGGAGAGGAAATGGGGAACAAGGCCAGATATAAAAAGGATGGAAAGGAGAGAGAGAGATTTGGAACACAGAGGAAAGAGGAGCTATTTCTGCACCACGTTCACCCGAGTCTGCCTCTAGAAGCATTAACATATGGAACATCATGCGCTGCCCGGTTGGGCATAAAATATATACACGCATGAAATTATTCAGTTAACTCTGCCAAAACTGACACACTTTTTTTCCCTCCTGGAGCTAATACAGCACTTGCATTTCCTCCAGAATTTACTCAGCAAATATACAGTTCCATTTATTTAAAAAATCATATATTTGGGACATATAAACAAAGAAAGCTGAAATGTTTTTGATTAAAATAGTATTTCCTCTGTTTAAATAATTTCCATGTTGGAGGTCGACGTATGCTATGAGATATTGATTGCCGCAGTAGCATGTTTGCTGGGGCTCAATATTAGACGCGTGTTTGTTGGTTATTGATTTGCTGTCATACTGGATTATTAGCTTTTGCTACAAAATAACAAGAAAGTCATGTGCAGCGTGTTTAAGTGTTTGCTGTAGCAAGGTCATCAGCAGAGATCTGAGAACAGATTATCAGTTCAGTCCACACAGCAGCACCTCTGATATGCACTGATGCGGTGCAGTATTTGCTGATGTTCTCATTTCATCTTCATTTTTTACGAGCTCAGTTTGAACTAGCACGGCCTCGTTAATGTACAGATTTACCTCGGCACACATTGCCATTGTCAGGTTCATAACCCGCCTTGCAGCTGCAGCTGCCTATGGGTACCATCCACTCTCCGTCTCCATTACAGTAGAGCTTTATGGGCACGTCTACTTCCTCAGCGTTGGGGATGCAGCTTCCTCTGGCGATGACTAATGAGGTGGACTCTGCTCCGGTCAGCGTCTGCACAAAATAAGAATCATTAAAAAATCCCATTTAAATATCCATCCGATGGCTGTGCCAAGCTCTCGTAAAAATCACCACCAATTTCAATTAGCTCTGTTTCATACCTCTGGGAAGAAAGCAAAGTTCTGCACGATGCTGGGGCATTTCTTGTAGAATACCCTGACGGCCAGAAGCGACATGCAAGCGCCTAAGTCCTGGAAAGCCAAATGGAAACCTCTGCCTTTGGACAGAGGCCCAAAACTTCTCACTTCTGTGTTCACTTTCATCAGCCTGCCCCCAAAATCAACCTGGGAGAAACTCTCATCTGCTGCAATGGTGTCCACCTGACAGAGAGAAAAAGAAGGAAAAAAAGATACATTTTTAACAAAGGTTTTCTTTATTGATTTAGATTTTCTACCTATCAGGTAAACACGCTAATGCCCAAATGCTATGAAATGCTGTTATTGTATCTTTCCCCCCGATAAACCTCCACAGTGGCCAGGCAAAATTAAACGTCTCTGTGAAATTGCAAATGCATGAGAGCATGAGCATGACATTTAAGTAGAGAGGTGACTTATGAATCTCAACAAGCACAAACACATTCAGTCAATACGGGTTAAATTCTAATAGCGAGTGGAGGTTAAGGCTTCAGGCTACAAAACGATTTGTGAATACTTTTAGCCTTTGTTGCAGTTTTACTTACTTACTGATCAATTTTGGACTGGTTCAATGTTTGGATTTCATTCTTTTGAACTGACATACAAGGAAGGTGTAATTTAACACTTTCTGGAATCTGCTTATAAAAATAAAAACCATTGCTGACTTAATCTCGTTGCAAAATCTCTTCTCGTCTTCCACTTAAGCTTCCAACAAAAATGCTATTTTCAGATCATACCCTGGAAGTCCCATAATGACCGCTTGCACTTTACCCTCTGTTATACCACCACAGGCCTTAAACATCAACTTGTCTTGCGAGTCGAGGATTGGAACTGGTGATGAGAGCTTGGTCTCCAGCTAAGAACCAGCAGTTTTAGTTGATAAGATCACAACGTTCAAGCCCCAAGGTGTTGGGTATGCCGTCTTTGCGTTGTTGCACATAGCAACATCCCTGTCAGTTTGTTCACTTCCTCAAAACGAAAATGATGTCCAGTGGTCACCATTTTGACACACAAGAGAATTTCCACTTGGATGGGTGCAAGTGGACACAATGGAACTTCCACAGTGAGAAGCTTTCCAGATATGCAAGAGGCAATGATAGGTATATAGGGTTTTTGTTGCTTTTTAAAAATCTGTAAATAACACTATATCTTTACTCCCTTTCCCCTCTTTTTACCTAAAGTGTTTACCTTTAGGAAGGGTGCGTTGGCCCAGTACTCCACCCCTTTGATGCCGTCTGAAACAGTCCTGTCGGTCTCTAGGTAGTAGAGGTTGAACGTCTCTTTGCAGGAGCCCAGGACACTCGGTATGGAGGCGCAGTCGCGCACAGTGAAGCGGATCTCCACGTAGATGCGTTGCGCCGCGCGCCGGTCGATGTAAGTGGTGAGGAGCCAGTTGTTCTGGCTGGGCTCAAACACGTTACACACCTGGTATGTCCTGATGGTGTTCAGGTTCTCATCGTAACCGCTCACCTCCTCCCACTGGGCGATGTGTGTGTGTGAGAAGAAGGGCCAAGTAGTAGGAGAGGGGAGGAAGCAGAGGGAGAGGGGAGAGGAGAGGCCAAAATGATGAATGGGTTTACCAAAACCTGACACAAATTAAACTTTATCCCTCCCTCCCATTTTGTCTCCTTCTCTTTTTTTCTCCTCTACCTTGTTCTGTGTTACATGGGTAAACCATTCATCACAATTAGAGTCACTCACCTCAAACGCACACAGCAGACCACTGTGACCGGCCAGTCGCCAAGCCAGAATTTAAACAGCCAAGGAGCTCAATTTAGATGGAAAAACCCATTCTATTCTATTCTATTCTATTCGGCTGCTGCGGACTCCCATGTGATGCACCTCACTGATCTTTTGGAATGCATTCTATTTACATCAGTAGTGGTTAATTGGTGTCACCTTGCTACTATAATTAGGAATTTGACAGACTCATTACTGGACCACTGTAAAGTGTACTCAAACAGTTTTTTCCCAAGGGCGCACGGACGGACACACACACACACACACACACACACACACACACACACACACACACACACACACACACACACACACACACAGAGTACACCTTTGCACATTGTTCTTACTCCATTGGCAGGGAACGATATCCAGCCAAGCTCAGCTGTCGCCGTCCTTGTATCCATCACTGTCTCTGTCAGACAAAAAAAGACAGAGAGAGAGAGAAAGAGCTGAAAAGAGGAGGCTGCACCAGAAGGACAGGTATGGATTTAATTAATAGTCAGCTCAGATGACAACTTTCAGCACTGCTTTGTGATATGTACCATTCATATTCATATTCATAAAGCCCTACTTCTGACCATTTCTGCAATGCTCTGTCTGTTCTGTGCACCTGTGATAAAGAGATAAAGAGGCGCAAAAAACAACAACAACAAAAAACAAACGACCCCTGGGTATGTTAATCTAGTTTGAACACAAGCCACAATGACAGGACATAATGATGAAGGTAATCCGGTTAATCCAGGTTTTATTCGAACCTCTGCGTAGCAGAAAACAGTTATGTTCAAAGCAGATAGCCTGCCTAATCACATTAGGCAGTGCCAAGGAAGAACACACCCTCATTACTCAGTGTTCATTATGTACACAAATGACTTTATCCCATATTGCATTATTTAGCTTTGACAGTATGTGGAAATGTAATTCTATCATGGAAAAGGCAGCATATCTAATATTTCACATTTATGATTACAACGACAGTCGCTGTCTGAAGCTTTATTAAGTCACGAATGACAGAAGAAAGATTTGATTGATGTAGCAGCTGGATAACATATAATATAACTGTCACTGAAAATGAAACCATTCCCAAGTCCCGAATGGGAAATTGGACTTTTGTGTTTTCTTTGATTTTCTAGTTGTAGATTGAAATTCAGAGTTAACCACTGAATGAGGCAAATGCACCAGAACTAGAACTGTTAGTAGAATATAATTAAGGACACAATGAAGTTAGCAGATATATTCAACTCAATTCACTTGTATTTGTAAGGCACCAAATCACAACAACCGTCGCCTCAATACCAGTAAATAACAAATAAACCCCCAAAATCAGATGACACCCTATGAGCAAGCACTCGGTGACAGTGGGAAGGAAAAAATCCCTTTTAACAGGAAGTAACCTACAGCAGAACAAGGCTCAGGGAGGGGTAACCATCTGCTGCAACTAGTTGTGATGGGAGGAATCAGGACTAAAGACACACTATGAGAAAGAACCAGAGATTAATAATAACTAATGATTAAATACAGAGTGGTGTGTACAGAGGTAGAAAGTATAAAAAGAAGTAATTGAAGAAGAAACATTCAGTGGATCATGGGAACCCAAAGCAGCCTAGGCCTATTTCAGCATGATGACTAAGGGAGGGATCCGGGTCACCAGATCAAGCCCTAACTATAAGCTTTATTAAAAAGGAATGTTTTAAACCTAATCTTAATCCTGAATCCAAACTGAAAGCTGTTTCCACAGGAGAGGCCCTGAAAGCCAAAGGCTCTGCCTCCCATTCTACTTGTAAATACTCTAGAAAACAAGTAATCCAGCAGCCCAAGACCAAAGTGCTCTACTGGTGAGATGTGACATTACAAGGTCTTTAAGATAAGATGGGGTCTGACTATTCAAGAAAATAAAAGAAAACAAAATTTTAAAATATAACCAGAAAGACTTGTCATTGAAAGATTCCTGAGGGGGAAATCTTTGGGTAACACCAAACACATAACCCAGCACTAGTCTAAAACAAAATCTGCTGGTCCTCTTTATAAGAGCAAAACGGGGAAACATGTCCAGTTGTGTTCTTGCTCTGACGCAACTACATGCTTGGCAGAAAAAATAATGGCCTGACAGAAGAGCCCAGAGCTGTTGCCAAGATGGAAAAGTGGCAAGATTTGCCTCGAAGGATTTTGCATTTGAAAACCTTAAAATCTAATAAATAATAATAATAATAATATTTTTTAGAAAGGCAGATTTGTAAGAGCTTTTTTTGAATAAGAGGCAAAAAAATATTCATCAACAGCATTAGAAGATATCCAGGAAGCCATGGAAGCTATTTATTTTGACTTTTGTGGGTGTGCTATGCAGTCATTAAGAGCATTGGTGTAAATCAATAAGCAGGACTTCTTTCTGCTTCTCTCTGACAATACCACACTTTCATATGACTTTTGCATCCCTGTAACCATGTTCTTTGATTCACCAGTGATTTAATTTCCTGCTAAAAAAAAGAAAATGCAAAGAAACGCGCGCGCGCGCACACACACACACACACACACACACACACACACACACACACACACACACACACACACACTGTTGTATGCATATCTGGTGATTTTATGCGCATTTTTAAAAACTGTAATTCCTTTTCAGAAATAAATGATTGCATCAATTTAACATGTTGCTGCCTCAAATTGGCAGTTAGCATATATTAAAGAATAATTGCATACAGGTGTAATAAGTCAGCAGCGGCAACAGCAATCAAATAAACGACTTCATTAGGCGAATGTATGGAAGTAGCGTTCAGCTGATCTGGATGTTACTAATGACTTCATGTGTCCCACTGAAACTACACTATCAGCTCTAACCTCCATTTTTTTTCCTGGCTCGCCGATTAAATCACTGCTGGACGACACACCGACACAGTAACACACTTCACAACGCTGACCGTACCTTCTCACATTGCAACAAAGGAAACCCAGGAATTACAGCGCAAGAGTCGCCGTAAGCAAAGCTACATGACAGCAAAGCCCAGATGGCAATGCTCGCTGTTAAACAGGTCATAATACGTCTTCATGCTATAGATCCCACTGTGTTAATGGTGAAAAATGGCTATGTGAGCAGCTCTAAGAATCAGTTTTATGTATTGCCCTGTCGCATAAATGCAAAGCCTGGCGAGCTGTGAAATTGGAGAATGACAGATATATTTCATTAAATATTTAGCATGTCAACAAATAATGTTACTGCAATACTGTAAATAGAAAGCAACATAAAGAACGAAGGAAAAATAGTATTCAAAATAAAGGATCTTAAAGCTGATGACAAACTGACCCTCGTGTAAAGTCTGCAGCAAACCAGTGTAATGGAAAGCATGCCTGAAATTTTTATGCCACTCCACTTTCCTGGTAACTAACGCTTGTTACAGGAAATATAGTTGACCATGACCGCAGCAAACTGGGGAGTAGACTTATTCAAATCATTAAAGGTGCTCCGTGTTGCTCTCAGAGGAAGTGGAACAAGAGAAACCGCCGAGCCCCACCCCGCCGTTATGTAGGTAAGTTGGGTTCCTTCTTATCTCCTGTGTCACTCGTGGCATGAACTCAGCCACTGCATGCAAAAATGAACGTTGACACGGTGCGAGCGGACACACCGAGACGCACGAGCCAACATAAGTTAGCTGGCATGCTGACAACACCGACCCCAACACCGAGCCCCTTGTAATAAAACACGGTGAGAAGATTCAGCGACATCACACCATGAGGCGGCCGCAGGCAAACAACCCCCCCTTGATTCTTGACACGCTCTCTTCCTCTTGCACTCTTTCATACTGTCACCCTGCCTCTCATTATCTGCTCTCCTCCTCCTCCTCACACTTTCCGCACCTTCATCCTCTCCTGCATTCTACCTCTCCATCTTTCATCCCTCCACTACTCTACTCTTTTTGTTGTTTTTTTTTATGTTTTGCGAGCGAGCTAGCCTAATTAAAGCAGAACCCCCTTTTTCAGCTCTCTCCCTTGGGAGAGAAGGTCGTTTTGGGAAATGAAACGCTTGTCACGCGAAAAATGTAGCCGACTATCAAATTCTTGGACCAAAGCTCATTTAAACGACGACAAGTGTCACTGTCTAATTTGTAGCTTCGGTGCGTTTAGTGGCACGCTGTCAACAAAGATTTTCAAAGAGTGATCTACAGCAGTTTATTTCTACCATGCATATTTTTACCTGCAAGAAACTTTGAAGTTTAGGTGGGAAAAAAACTGAAAAGAAGAAAAAAAAAAAGACACAATGAGACAAATCCACAATAATGACAGAAGAGATGTTGGAATGGCTCATGCAGCCTTACCTTCCAGCAAAGTCTTGCAACAAGGGACCTTATTCAAGGCTTTGCTTTAAGAATTGAATACGGTGGCACTGCATTGGCACCACACTACCACCAACCTGCTTTAAAGGAAGGTTTTAGTGGCACACTCACAGGAAAGGTTAGCATTCTACCCACAGACTTTACTGGCAAATGCATTTATTGAAAAATTGATTGTACTTTTGCACCCAGGAACACCTGTGGGTCCCCGCGATTCATCATTTTATGCCATTTTGTCTTGCTCACTGCAAAATGATTACAAAGCAGTGCTTGAAGATAAGCATGCATGTAAATATAGAGCGAATCACTTTAGATTGGTGCAACATTCAAATTAAATCTCGACAGTTCATCCCATGATGACTTGTTTTGTCCGTCAACAGTCGAAAAAACAAAACATATTTAACATCCTGTTAAGTCTGACAAGGAACAGCAAGGAAGCTATAATTATGTGGCCTCTATTAACTATCAAATACCACAATATTTGCCTATTAACCTTCTTTCAACAGACCGATCAATACTTCACTAATCATTCATATATTTGCACAAAACCACTTAATAAACTGCAGTGCATTAGCAAACATGCTTTGCGAATTCCGAGTTTCAATGAGAAAAGAAGTCTAATCAGAACAAAACGAGACATGTGTTTGATGGTCTATGCTGGGCTTATTAGAGAATCTCCTCATCAGTCTAATTAACAGCACACACCTCTCTGCACATAATAGGGTATACTCGCCGAACAGCCTAATTACTTTTGACATATTGGAGGTTGTGATCGCAGTGTGCCTTCCTCCCCCGCAGTGGTGCAGCTCTTCAACCAGCCCTGTACACCGCTGAACGAAAGCAAAAGCCATTTTACAGCAGAGGAAACAGCAGGTAAATCTGTGCGATATAGTAGCAGTCAAAGAGGTTGTTAAATCCTTGTTGTGGCCCACGAGGGAGAAGTTAAAAGTATTTTCATCACAGGCCCCCGGATTAGAAGTAATTTCCCTGTTTTGCAACCTTTTCTTTCCCTCTCTTTCTTTATGTGTGCGTACCAGTGGTCAAATGGGAAGTGTGGTTAGTTCATCTTCTGCTAATTGGCATA